CATCCAATAGACAAACTCTTATAAAATTCCATAGACAATCTCCTACAGCACTCTATAACATCCCATAGACAATCTCCTACAGCACTCTATAACATCCCATAGATAAACTCTTATAACATCCCATAGACAAACTCCTATATCACTCTTTAACATCCCATAGACAAACTCCTATATCACTCTAAAATATCCCATAGACAAACTCCTTTATCACTCTATACTATCCCAAGGACAATATCCTACATCACTTTATAACATCCCATAGACAATCTCCTACATCACTTTCTAACATCCCATAGACAATCTCCCACAGCACTCTATAGAATCCCATCGACAATCTCCTATATCATTCTATTCTACCCCATAGACAATCTCCTACAGCACTCTATAACATCCCATAGACAACCTCTTATAACATCCCATAGACAAACTCCTATATCACTCTATAACATCCCATAGACAAACTCTTATAACATCCCATAGACAATCTCCTACAGCACTCTATAGAATCCCATAGACAATCTCCTATATCATTCTATACTATCCCATAGACAATCTCCTACAGCACTCTATAACATCCCATAGACAAACTCCTATATCACTCTATAACATCCAATAAACAAACTCTTATAAAATCCCATAGACAATCTCCTACAGCACTCTATAACATCCCATAGACAATCTCCTATATCATTCTATACTATCCCATAGACAATATCCTACAGCACTCTATAACATCCCATAGACAAACTCTTATAACATCCCATAGACAAACTCCTATATCACTCTTTAACATCCCATAGACAAACTCCTATATCACTCTATAATATCCCATAGACAAACTCCTATATCACTCTATACTATCCCATAGACAATCTCCTACATCACTTTATAACATCCCATAGACAATCTCCTACATCACTCTATAATATCCCATATACAAACTCCTATATCACTCTATAATATCCCATAGACAAACTCCTATATCACTCTATAATATCCCATAGACAATTTCCTACAGCACTCTATAACATCCCATAGAAAAATTCCTATATCACTCTATAACATCCCATAGACAATCTCCTATATCACTCTATACTATCCCATAGACAATCTCCTATAGCACTCTATAACATTCCATAGAAAAACTCCTATATCACTCTATAACATCACATAGACAAACTATTATATCACTCTAACATCCCATAGACAAACTCCTATATCACTCTATATATACTATCCCATAGACAAACTCCTATATCACTCTATAATATCCCAAAGACAAACTCATATATCACTCTATAACATCCCATAGACCAACTCCTATATCACTCCATACTATCCTATAGACCAACTCCTATATCACTCTATAATATCCCTTGGACAACTCCTTTATCACTCTATAACATCCCATAGACAAACTCATATATCACTCTATACTATCCCATAGACAAACTCCTATATCACTCTATAATATCCCATAGACAAACTCCTATATCACTCTATAATATCCCTTGGACAACTCCTATATCTCCCTCCTTAAATGACCATAGCCGTTGGTAGGATGTTAAACAATACTAAACCAAACCAACCTAATAACATACGTTGGACAACTCCTGTTTCACCTAATAAAATCCCATCAACAAATTTCAATCTGAGGGTTCACTGAGGGTTCACTGAGGGTTCACTGGTAGACTGTATTATAAGAGGATATACAAGCAAGCAGCTTTCATAGGGACATGATGACTAACACTTTAGTAAGATGGCTGTCAGCCATTAACAATTCCTTGACAAAGAAATAAAATAACATTTCTGTCAATATCCATTTAACATTGAGCACCTGTCACCAAATCAATAAATACATACACAGAAAGAATAACAATAAGCCGTGAAAATGTTAGGAGAAGACCAGGCCTGTACAACTTCCCATATGTCACATTCATACACCACCAGACATAGCTGGCCTTTACCACTGTCACAGTCATACCCCACCAGACATAGCTGGCCTTAACCACTCTCCCAGTCATACACCACCAGATATAGCTGGCCTTCACCACTGTCACAGTCATACACCACCAGATATAGCTGGCGTTAACCACTGTCACAGTCATACACCAACAGACATAGCTGGCCTTAACCACTGTCACAGTCATACACCAACAGACATGGCTGGCCTTAACCACTGTCACATTCATACACCACCAGACATAGCTGGCCTTTACCACTGTCACAGTCATACACCACCAGATATAGCTGGCCTTAACCACTGTCACAGTCATACACCACGAGACATAGCTGCCTTAATCACTGTCACAGTCATACACCACCAGATATAGCTGGCCTTAACCACTGTCACAGTCATACACCAACAGACATGGCTGGCCTTAACCACTGTCACAGCCATACACCACCAGACATAGCTGGCCTTAACCACTGTCACAGTCATACACCACCAGACATAGCTGGCCTAAACTGCTGTCACAGTCATTATGTGGACATCTTATCTATATATATGATTTCATAATCCCAGAGAGTACAATAGAAAAAGATGGTAGAAGGATCAAAAAGGTAAAAAGTGGTTAGGCAAAACATTTTAAAACACTGACTTAAAATCTGTATGCATATTGGTTTCAACAGACAAAATGCTTTATTTTAACCTTGTTTCATTATGCCCACTGATTTAAGTCATAATACGATCTTACAATATCATATAAACAAGAGGCCCATGGGCCTTAAGAGTCACCTGATATATTTATACAGAGAGTTGATTTTTGTTTTTAACATGAACAGAAATATTATTCAAAGTGACAAAAAACAATAAAACCACCTTATTCAATATCTAGCATGCAGATTTAAGACTGAAAAGTATTTGAAACTAGCACCTCTGATTCTAAACAAGGAAAATGAAGAAATTTTATTTAAGCACACGGACTCCATTGGGCCCCACCCTACAGCCCTTGGGGGTAGGGATGGCTCAAAATTTACAAAGTATCAAACTGTCAACTTA